ACTCCTCCACATCCTTAAGTGACGTTTCCTTTTCATTCGACTCATTACAACCCTCTGGCTGGGTCCAACAATCCAAGCAAAATTCATCACAACCCGTGAATACACCCCCTTTTAACAGCGTGCTTTTAATCTCACCCAACAGTGTCTTCAGCTCATTGACATCCATCACTAGATTCAACTTTTCTTCCGCCATGATGGCATTTTCCCCATTATTGGGCATAGGCTGTTGTACTATATTTGGACCCACCTGTCCAAAGTTGATAGCTTTGCTATCCAATAAATCCTGAACTTTGTGTTTAAATGCCTGACAAGCTTCTACATCATGCCCGGGTGCCCCGGAATGGAATCCGCAATGCTTGTTGGCATCATATCCGTAAGGAAGTACTGCCCCTGTAGGTGGTGCCAAAGTCCTCTTTTCAACCAAGTTCAACCCTAGCAGGGTCTGGAGGAGTTCTGCGTACGTGGAAGGAGGTGCATCGAACACTCTTTTTGGTCTCGCATTTTGTACCCTTCTCTGGCCAGGATTCGGTCCTTGCTGTTGCTGTGGTTGTTGTTGTTGTGGCTGCCTCTGTTGAGGAAGCGGGATAGTGACACTAGCTATCTGTTGCGGCTAAACATACTGATTTCTTTCTCTGCCCCTGCCCCTGCCCCTGCCACCAAACACGACTCTAGTATCACCCTGTCGTCTACCACCAAACGCTTTTCTGGCACCTCCTGTCGAAGTAGACTCACCTGCTTGGAACCTTCCAACTTTAATCCCGTTCTTGATCATCTCCCCCATGAGAATCAAATCTGAGAAACTGCTCAAAGACACACTAAACAATTTTTCATAGAACACCCCCGTAAATGTCCCAATGAACATGTCATTCATCTCCCTTTCAATTAAAGGAGGATGGACCCTCGCTGCCATATCGCGCCACCTTTGCGCATACTCTTTAAAACTTTCACCGTTCTTCTGTGACAAACCCTGCAATTGGACCCGGTTTGGCGCCAGATCGCTGTTATATTTGTAATGCGTCACGAAAGCATCAGCCAACTGCTTCCAGGTTTTGATCTGCGTAGGCTCCAGCCCCATATACCATTCAAGTGAAGGTCCTGACAGGCTATCCTGAAAGAAATGCATGAGCATCCTTTCATCATCTGAATACGCGGAGATCCTTCTGTAATAAGAGCGGACATGGACCTTAGGGCAGGTATCCCCTTTGTATTTGTCGAATGTTGGAGCCTTGAATTTTAGCGGCACCCTTAGCCCTGGTACCAGGCCCATTGTAGTCATATCCAAACCGGTGGAGTTCTGATTCACTACCCCCTTCATCTGTTCTTCAAGCATTCTAATCCTCTGCACAGGATCAACAGGTCCTTCAAATCCCACACCTCTTCCAGAAAAGGCGTCCTCCTGGCGGTCTTCACCCCAATTCACATTTTCATTTCCATATCCGTCGTAACCAGTGTTGCGACCAAGCCCTTGCTGATTGATCATGGGACCTCGTCCCCCGGTACCGAAACCCTGGTTGACCCTAGCAGGTCCAAACCCAGTGTTGACAGGAATCACCCCAGCACCATTCATATTACCAAATCCACCATACCCCTGGTTAGTGTTACCAAAACCGTCGCAACCAAAACCCTGAGTGTTGAAGCCGAATTTCCCGTCCTGATTGACGTAATCAAATCCCTGATCTTTGTAGCCGAAACCATTGTTGCCAAAACCATTACCGCCATTGTTGTTACCACCGCCTTGGTTGGCGTCCCCAAACCCAACATTGTTAACAACAGTCTCATTTCCATTCCATGTGTTTCCATTGCCAGCGCCAGCGCCATCGTTTACAACCACAACAGGTGGGGTTACTACAGGTGGAACCACCGGCATAGGGGGCCCATCCTCCAGAATAGTTTCAACGTGCGCAGAATTGTGGTCATTGTTGCCATTCCCATTAGTCCGCGTCAGCAGCGGCTGTACCAAAGTCTAGAGGCTCTCCTGGCCCTTAGCAATGTTCTCCATCGCTTGCATGAACAGATTCAACTTCTCGCGGATTTCTTGCATCTCCACTTGGACTTGATCCATGATTCTCTTGCAGTTGTTTCGGGTTGAGTAGCGGTGGACTCTTTGTTCGTCAATCCTGAAAAAACCCTGCGATGTAGGAAATAAGATATAGATTCGAGAATACCGGTCGTGCAATATTAATGCGGATGCAAATGTGTAAATATGCTACAGGTTATACCCCCTCGATTCTAGTTTCGGCGAGAAGGCCATCACGACAATGGAGTCCCCATAAAGCAAGCGAGGAATCAGAAAACCCTCATATATAAACAAATGCCAAGAGGCTGAGTACAAGAGCACAACCGAATACAACTGAAGAGACCTCGGCCAACAAGCCTGGCGATGGTCAAAATACAAGTGCAGATAACAAAAGCAAGGCAAAGATAAATCAGGCCAAATGGCGTGCTCTGACATCTTCCAATATCTTCAACGTCTCCGAATGCCCTAGTCGGGAGATCAGCTCCTGTTGTTGCACCCTAATTTTTGACCTTAAAATCCCACCTCTTCTTGCGTATTTTTCTATTGTTATTTACTTTAATATTTAATATTTATGCGACTAACCAATTTGTGCAGACGCAGTAATGCCAAGTGGAGATGGCTTTCATGCTCGCTAATAAAATTATTACGAAGATGATAGGACAGTCGAAAATCTCATATCTTTCTCAATGGTACTCCAGGAGTGGGATACTATGACATTTGACTATTAAGGATATTCGGGAGCAAATTATGACAAAGTGTGGAGTCGTGATCAAGGCGAGTTATGGGTGCTTGGAATACCCGAAATTAAAAGTTTCACCAATTTGAGTACGAATTAGAGATACACAAATATGTCGTTAAATTCAACTCGATTAATAAACAAGGGCTCGGTCGTACGGAGATAAAGGTTTAAATGGCGTTTTCTTGGTAAGACCACGACTGCACTTCTAAATTGGTAAGACCATGATTTCATGATTTATTTTATGAAGAGCATACAAGGAACGATTTCTATACAAGACGTTTGGCTTAAGGAACGAGAATATTACCAATGTTGTTTACAACTTTGCATGAAATGGACAAATACCGATATGGTTGTGTTTTAACTACAAGTTATCCCATAACTCAAGTCATTACAAGGACGTGTTCTTAATCACAGATTTTAATTCCTCAAAGGGAGCCATTTACAAGAACCTTCGCAGAATTTTTCTTTTATTCATTGCCACATTAACTAGAGCTACAAGTGCAAGCTTGTGGGTAAGTTCCAAAGAAATCACAAAAGAATAATTTCATAGTACATCTCATTGGCATTATTACAGTTGGTATACATATGCCTCGAAGCAACAACTCAAAACGTTTCTGAGAACCAGTGTTCTCCTCTTTAGTTACAAAGATCCAAGTTCTTGGCTGGGGACCCCATCTAATCCATCATCGTGATGTGCCTTTCTTATCAATACTAGGAGGAATTACCAAGTCATCGTTTTCTTCACGATTGTCTTCCATGTGCCACTCTCAATCAACACTCTCATTCGTTGTCTTCTCATCACATTAATACCCGCCGTCGTCGAAATCCGCAACTCGGCCTGTTCAAATCCGGAGGAAGACAAATTTTATGCAACAACCGGTATCATCAAATGGAAAACATAAGGGCAGGAAATATTAAACAGCAGCACTTTCCTCAAAAAAGCGAAGAATGTGCTTTCGAGTAATCTTAGTGAATAAAGGAATTTAAACCGCACCGTCATCTTCATGCAGGTCATTGTTAAGCATCAGTTACGGCTCCATTCATCTTCCGTGAAGGCCACAAGCCGGTATGCTATGTTGGCCTATTATACGAGACATATTCTACAATAAAGAAGAAGAGACATCAAAACATTAATAAAAGCCTCATCGACTTAAAAGCCACAGATGTCAATAAAAGAGAACGGACGATAACAAAATCATCACCAGTTTTGAATTCGAGAAAGTCATGACCGTGACATCAAACAACTTACCACGACAGTCAGCTTCTCTTGGCATCCAAGGTTCCAGACATGAATAACAACCTCGCACTTCATTCTCTCTTTCGCAGCTTTGCCAAAGCCCCATCCCTGCTCCCCTGATTCTACCACAAACTAAAACCTGCCACCACAAACGGCGATCAGAATCATAAATTGCACGATGCAGTGATTAATACTGTCCAGAATTAAAACCAGAGTAACCAAGCAAAGAACTGATCAGTGTGGCTTCGGAAACACTAAAGGCATGCTAAGCCAAGTTTTACAGTTTATAGCAGGGCACTTATTGTCCTTGCCAGTTAGGTGTTCGCAGATGCACTGGTTACCAAAAACATGACCACAAACAATAGCATCTTCAGGAGCATCATTACAGATACCACAGATAAATTGTTGACATAGTTTTGCTTCACTGCACCAGCATAGGCGTCATTCTTCATGGCATACGTTATGGCGATTCCTGCAAATGACGATACACTAACTTCATACTTATACTAGAAACTAACTAAGTAAGAATCATTGGTCTAAGTTCCAGCTTTTTATGTACGGCCATCAAGTAAGTACATGTTGAGAGTTCAACTGATATTCTAAATCTCTGCCACAAACACTCCAGTGCATCTCACGGCGAGGGCACCATTCCTGGTAAAAAGTTCAGAAAGACAGACAAGATATTCAGACCTTATAAGTCAGCCGTCATTCAAGGATTCTGTGAGAGATAACTTACAAACATGTGCTGCCATTCGGGAAGAACCTTTTAATGCTACATTGAGCAATATGCATACATTTGCGTCCGCACAGTTGAGGCAGGCATTAAAATGACACAAATGAGTGTGACTTTTAACACTTTTGATCTAATGGTGCTATCTCCGCATGCTTCACAACTCTATGCCATTCCCTTGAGAAGGTGATGCTATGCTTCCATTTCCTGGTTGAAATGAACAACTTGGTGAAAATAACTCTTGGACTAAGGGACTCACAAGACTGAATGAATACATTTAAGATGCGGGAGCTACAGTTGAATGCTCAGAAGTAGGAAGTTCAGCTGCGGCTGCCAGCAAATCTCTCAATGCCGCAAGACATGACAAACCGGTTACCGGTATATCCTCTCCAACTTGAGACAGACCTTGCAAGCTTTCCAGATAATCCTCACGCCAAAACACCAGTACCCCACCTGCAGAATTCACGTCCCATTAGTTTAGGTTTTGGGTTACTCCAAATATTTTACAAATAGGAAGGATTTGTCACGTCCTCTAACATGTCCTAAGCTTTGAAGCAAACATCGCAATTATCGATACTATCTCGTGCCGTACTCACTATGTTCTCCAAACATGGATTCACCTGTGTTCAAAAGAAACAATCCAGCTTCATGAGCAGTCACAACACAAGTCAGACAACTTAATTTAAGAAAAAGAGAAACTTCAGAACCGAATTCCGTACTCATGAAGTCTCCATCGGTTTACTTATAAGGAGGAAAAGAAGTAGTGCTCAGCAATTCGCACATTGGAACTAGAACAGGAGTTGAGACTAAGTGACAACCCTCCTTCTCCATACCCATGACACAAACGCCAATCTTGAACTGTCGTACACCTGCAGAAAAGAGAAAAGCAAATTTTTAGGAGACAAAGACAACAGTACAAATGTTCAAAGGGACTTAATTTGTGCAAGGCCCTCTTCTCTATGTAGCTGGTGGTGGCGATAAATTTGAGTTCTCCTGGGCGGCCGTCCCTTAAGATTTCTTCGATACAGTCGTTTTTGGTGAGGACTAATGTTGACAAAGTTGGGACTGGTTGTACAAAGCTCCTGGACCAACACCTTTCACACGCTAACACTTTGATCCATTAAACGGTAAACAATACCTGTCACAGGTAATAGTGATGTTAGTAGTGAGTCATCATCAACAACAAAGTTATAACGGCAAATCAATGACAATAAACAACATTAAACCGAGAATTTGAGAAGAGATTAATTGGATAAGAAGCATGTTTGGATATGTTACAGTCAAAATGGAAAGGGTCCATTTACAGCACGACCAAAGCATTCATAACTTTCCAAAATCGGTTGAATCATGTTCTACGATTTTGGAAATATTCTTTAAACAGGGGACCGTGTTTTAAGTGGAAAGAAGATATGTTGAACTATAAAAAGAGGCTATCAGAATCAAACAAAGAGGAGGCAGAATTCACAAACAGAAAACCCCCCAATTCATAAAACCCTAAAATTCAAAGAAGAGTGAGAAAACTTACCCTGTTATAACTTCCACCTCGCAAAGCACGACCCAACCTCAAAAAACCCTTACGCCATTGCGAACTGCCCCTTTGTCATCCGCAATCATCGCCGCAAGGAAATACCACCGGAAACCGCCGCGAATATTCCCTATCCGCGTCAAAACCAACCTTCATCGCCGTCAAAAGCCATTTGCGGGCCTCCTCTTGCACCATCGCTCCGTCGTCCAACTTACGGTAATCCCACCGTTTCGTGTCAAATTTATTGAAATTTTTGATCTTGTTTGTTTGTGTTCCAGGTTTGAGCGAAAGAAAAATTGGGATTAAGAAGGTTGAAGGAGAACGGGATGAGAAAATTACGGACGGAAACAGATCAAGGAAAGGAATGGAGAAAGACGAACGGAGAAGACAAGGCGTGGTTCTAGGGTTTTGTATTTTGTTTCTTCTGATTGCATTTGTTTTGTAATATAAATCACTTGCACTCACACACATTTACACTACCACACCCCAATCCATTCGCATCTTAACCACTTTAACTAACCGCTTAATGAGTTTTTTAATTAAACCTTAACTCTAATAAACTCTTTTATAAGAATAATTAAAATCATTATTTCCTTTATAATCTAAACCAATGTTTTTGTTAATTAATTAACCTCTTCTTTATTTTAAATATAGTAAACTTTTTTTAGTAGTAGCATATTGATTTGTTCTCTAAAAATTCAATTTATATTTAAAATAACTTTTTTTTAAAAAAAATAAACAATCTTTTTTACTTAAATTAACTTTTACCTTTTATAATACTAAAAAAAATCCATCTTTTTTTAATTAAACTTTCTTCCTCAAAATGTTTATATTAATTAAAATCTTTTGTTATAAAAACCTAATCACTATTTTAAATCTAAAATAAATAAACTTTTTATTTAAAACAAATAATACAACTTTTTCTTAAACTAAGTAATTCAGCTTAAATCAACATTTCTCTTAAAATCAATATCCTATAACTCAATCATCGCGCACACTTACACTCCACATCACTCACTTGCACTCACTTAGCGCTTTCATGTGTATATATGTCTTATACTCATCTGCTTTTATTTATCCACAATTCACACACTCACTTAGCGCTTTCATGCGTTCGTGTATGTTTATTTATCTGCCTTTTATTTCCGCAATTTATTTTACAAGCAATTTACATTATCACAATTTACATTTTCGCATCGCATCCGTCCAAAGGAAAAACCTACACATAATTCAACGTTGTGTGTAGTTGCATATCATTCGCATCATATCCCCCTCGATCCTTGATCTCATTCAAGTCGATCTCTATGATAGATCCTACCCCATAGGAAGGACCTTGTTTTCTCTCTTACAACTTAGATAATCAACAATTAAACACGATACAAACAAACTCAATCAATACAAAATATTCAAACACAATTAGAGAAAGATGTCAATCATCTTAAGCGAGATAGAATCTCCACCCCACAACAATACAATCAAGTCGTAGGGACTTTGCCTTAAGAGAAATAAAGGCATACTCGTCAAACAATCTGAGTACTTAAGCCCTTTTCTTAAGACGATGCAAAGACTATTTTCCTACACCTTGTGGCGGTTAAATCTCCCTTAAAATGAAGACACATCTCCTCTCCTAAAAACAATCAATCAACTACCCTAAACCCGTAGGAACTTTGACCACAGTCAAGAAACTCCTCAAACCCTTTAGGGGAACTACAAAATACTCTGATTCCACTCCCGTAAGGATATGTAGGCATAAGATGCGATATCTTATCGAGTATACTTAGAAATAAACCCTTAGGTCTTTAAATCATTAAGCAGATAAACACTTAGCAATAAACAAACATAAAACAAGAGGTTCCTGTAGAGTACTACAGAAACTTAGGATGCTAGTACCTTCCCTAAGTTTAACCAACCCCCGAACCTATAACTCTCTAAACCTTGCATTTGCATTGCATTGTGGGAATTTCGATCTTTATCCCTTCCTTTGGACAAATCAAAGTTCGGTTGCAAATTGAATTAAAGATTCAAACTAATCAATAGTTTGATATCCGATTTTCACCGCGACAGAAATGGCGACTTCACTGGGGATACCCTCTAGTGGGTTTCCCTATCTTATTTTATTTGTTTACTGCTTTATATATCTGCCTACTTGATTCATTGTTTATATGATTTCTCTTGTATTTCTTTTGGGATTGTTGTCTTTGAGTGGTGAGATAAAGTTCTACACCCGAACTTGAGAGAAATTAAGATAGGATGGTGATATAGTCGAGGAGGCTTATATGGAGTTGAATCCCGACTAAGTTAAATCGAGAATCCCGCTCAATTGAGGCCCTCTCGAGATAGTACTGTTGAACGAGTAATCGTGAAGACACTTGCTATTTTCGACCTTGGAGCCTATGATATTGAGAACCGTAGTTACCTAAACCCAACTTTGGCCTTTATTAGGATGTAGTGCGAGACTATGAGGGAGTACTTCCGAAATAGTTCTACGCGAAGCTACACTCAAAAGAAGTTCTCTTGAGAATATTATTAATCCTCAAGTAATTGGGAAATTGATAATATCCGACAAATGGACTTATGATTTTGAGTCCCTTTAGAACCCTGTCCTGCAGGTACAAACATACTTTAGTCCATAACCTTTAGGAAAGGGTATACCTTTACTCCATGCTCGTTGCAAACCTAGGGTCCCCTTTTTGTGTGTTTATCTTTGTGTCCTTATGTGAATACTTGTGTTTGCTGCATTCATATAACATCCTTCTGCATTAGACTTCATGGGATTTACTTTCGTTTATGAACATTGTAGGTCACCATGACTTCAAATGAAAGACGTACTGTGAAATATACTTTTAAGAGTCCCAAATTGGATGACCTAAAGAAGTTGTGGGGCCTTATCAAGGATCAAGAGGAATTCAAGAACAAATATGGGAAGCTGATATCTTTATTGGGTCGCTCAGTGAATGAAGGACTTCTTGCCACTCTACTACAGTTTTATGATCCTCTCTACCTATATTGGAAGAGTACTCCTTTTTGGTGGGTCTACCTATTCTGGAAGAATCTCCTTTTCCCTTCTTAGAAAAGGACCTTGATGAGAAAGATATTGCTAAGGCCCTCCGTTTAAAGGTAGCTGACGTCAAGGCCAACATGGTTACTAAGGATGGAATCCTTGGTTTGAAGACTGGTTCCTAGTCGAGAAAGCTTTATTTTATGCTAATCATTCGAACAAGGCTCAGTTCGAGGCAATTTTCGCCTTACTTGTTTATGGGATATTTCTATTTCCAAGTTTTGAAGGTTTCATCGATCTCAAAGCGTTTAAGATCTTTATGAAGAACAATCCAGTGCCGACTTTGTTGGGTAATACATATCACTCTATACATCTCCGAAACCTTCGTGGTGGAGGGATGATTACCTGTTATGTACCCTTAACTTACAAGTGGTTTATTTCGCACTTGCCAAAGACTAGCTCTTTTACAAATGTTGGCAAAGAACTTTGGTCTCCTAGGGTTATGGCATTGACCCATTCTGACATTGATTGGTACAGTCGAGTATATGATGGGGTATTAATCATTGATAGTTGTGGTAACTTTGGTAATGTACCATTGCTCAGTTTTGATGGAGGAATCAGCTACAATCCTGTTTTAGCTCGTCGACAGTTGGGATACCCGTTGAAGGGACCTCCCAAAAGTTCCCATGTAAAGAGTATTTTTCTTCCACAATGATGTGGAGCTTCGAGGAAAGGTTTTGGATGCATGGCGTAGTGTGTATAAGAAGGGGAAGAGCAGCCTGGGGAGGCCTAATTGTGTATCTTTAGAACCATATCTCCAGTGGGTAAGAGACAGGGCAATCAAGCTGAGGATGCCTTATTCTCGTCAAAACCCTATACCTCCGAGGAGAGAGCCTGTTTATGTTTTTATGTCTGATGCTGAGAAGTTGGAGGTTGCCTTAAGGGAATCGCAACATGAGTCAGAGATCAAGTTGCTGTTGCAGAGATTAGTGAGCTTCAGGAACAGAAGAAGGAATCTCAAGAACGAGAAAAGGAATTT